CTCTGAGGTACAGATATATAAATAAAATTGGAGTGTATATTGAAATAACCTTTTACTACATGCATATGAATATACACCATATACACCAAAGAACATTTTTTACAGTTTTGGTCTGGCTGTCTGTCTGTATGTTCCGGCTAATCTCTGCAACGACTGAACCGATTTTGACAAGTCTTTCATTGATCTTAAACTAGATTCGTACCGCGAGTAACATTGCGGGACTATCAATAATAAAATTTAATGTTTTCAAAGCGAAGCGAGGGCGGGTCGTTAACTTAAAATAAAAAATTTTGACTGACTACTTTAGCGTCTATATTAATTATATATGCCTTTTTTTATATAATGTTTTGATATACTTTGGATCTGTTTGTATGTTTTAAAGTATGTACGAGTATAAAGTTTCTAATTCTGAAAATTTTTGAGTTATCTGGTCGTAATACTGAGAGAAAATAAAGGAATACTTTTGTGTGAACGCATACCGCATTTCGTTTTGCCAACCAACTTTTCATAAATAATCACATAAAAAATTTACCCACAGAATAAAATATAACGCAAAAAAAAAATACAAACACAGATCTTATAATTTATTATTTTACTCCTTGTTACACGTTCAGTCAGGTTATTATTACATTATTAACTTTTAGCAAATTTTAATGTCTATTAATTAGTAAAAATTGCTCCAACCCATGTAAAAATAAATTGGTTTCATAATTATTACCATTGTATTTCCCGTTGTATCAAAGAACTTCGAACATAGTTAATTAACTTATAATAGATTATCATCATATATTCAGATAACTGCCTCACAAGGTATAATATATAGCCTGCGCCATTTATCTAGCTCTGAAATTAGAAGTAATAACGTTTTATTCCGTCGGCCATTGACCTTTTTCTACATAGAGTTTTTTTTATATATCCAAAGAAATTAATAGATGCAAAATTTAATTTAACAATAGTAGACGAGCAGCTTATGAATCTAATATTCGCACGGGTTTTTACTTCACCAATAAATTATTTTTATTTATTGCTGTTTTATCCCGTAGAATCACTAATTTCACACACAATGTATTTTTAACACGTTTTTTACTAGCTTGATCTGTATCTATTTATTTATATAATGGAATAATTAACGTGATTTTCACGAGTTTTGAGACGGAAAATTTACTTGAAAATACGTATATAGTAAGAACCAATCAAATTATGTAATGTAGGATTGGTAAGAACGGAACGTATGAAAAGAGTGTAGAACGGAGATGGAAGATGTGAATGAGAGAAAATGAAAAGAAAGGGAGAAGAGAATAACAGACAGAATGACAGAAAAAAGGAAGATGGCGAAGCCGATTGAAAAATGAGCAAGACGTAATAAACGTTATTAATTATTATTATAACAGAAGATTTTGGAACAATGGAAGTTTTATTTTATGCGCTGCGATCCCTACTCTACCGCAAAAATTTTTTGATCAGGAGGAAATTACCTAGCTGCTGTATACGCGTTGGTGGTGGTAAACGCGCTATATTGGAATTGAAGTGACTAAAACATCCTATTGACCCAAGAAACCACGTTCGAAGGGCAAGGTTTCACGCGGAGAAGTTTTTTTCTCTCTACCATCTCGCCCACACTGAATTCCGAACTGGCAGTTGTCGGCTCCACGGACACTGGATCTCTTGGTCGGGGGTTATTCGAAATCTGCCTAGATAGTATCACCTACTCATACCACCGGGATACCCACACTCTTGTCATAACCAGTACGTCGCAGACTACGGTGTTTCATCTCCCGCTTACTCTTTTGTAAGACGCGTGTAGATCAGCTTACATGTCCTTATTTTCATAGCTAACAGCTGGTCGAGCACCTCCGAAGGAGACTTAACAACTCGAGAGCAGCTGCTTTGTGGATGAATCTACTACCGGTTCGGAATCGCGACCCACTGAGAAGATCCGACGAGAAACTCAGCGGGCTGAAAAGGATGTGTACATCCAGACCTCGATTACCACATATCTTTAACAATGACACTGAATTGAACCCAAAATCGAAGCAACGGAGCAAAGAAATAAACTCTAAAATTTTATTTATAGATTTTGTAAGTCTATATGATGAACTGATGATATGATGATATACCTAGTCCAGTCATAAGTTCTGTTACAAATAAAAACCCATTTTTTAAATGAAGTAATATAATATTATTAAAATTTATACCTACATATTTATTAAAATCTCAGCAAAAAATAAAAAAGGATTCTATTTGAAATGGCCATCTTTGGCTTTGAAATTGTAAAGATTGATTTACGGCATGTCCTGCTTATCGACGATAAGCACCGAGCTTCAAGTCTTGTTTTATAAAACGCGATAGTCATAACGGGAATATTTTTTCTCACGATAAAAGATATTTTGCTTCCTAATGGGGTTTCAACGAATTAAGACTTTAACAACGTTAACAGCCTAGCAGCACGCGGCCGCCCAGATCTTTTCTGGTCTTCGACAGACGAAGTGTTGTTGTCTCTGTTGATAGTACGAACGAACATACGGCTAATACCAAACTTTTGAAGTGTCTTTGTGCAAGGCGATCACTCCATTTCTATTTTCTTTAACACCCCATTCCATATTGTAATTTGACAATGAACACGAAAAAATATGTAAAATAGCAATATCGAAAAAAGTTTTTAAAATAATATACTTGTTCCAAATTTAAAATAATTCAAAAGTTGAAAAAAAGAAAAGTTTTTAAGTAACCGTATTTACGGCCAGACTGAAGATATGATGAATGGTCTTTATGAACTTTAGCACTGCTTAGAAGACGGGTATTTGAAACGATCCTTGAATATAATACGTTTCATAAACCTATTCGAATATTAATTTAAAATATATGAAATAAATTATATCATTTTGATCTTTTAAATACGTATTTTTTCGTCTTGTGACTTTCCATGACCCGATAATGTTAAGCGTGACTTTTTATTCGTTTATTTCAATGAGTGACGCTATAATTTATTTGAGTCGACTATTATCAAAGCCGGCAATGTGACTTTTGGACAATTATTGGTAAATCAGAAAAACGAATTATTGACTTTGTATTCCATTGGCAGTCACAAAGCTCTTCTGAACGACATCTTAGATAAATAACAGATAATAAAACCTTTATTTAATGCAGGTTTTGAACCGTATTCTTTGAAGGAGACGATTATATTCAAATCAATCTGTATTGACATATCAATAACATTTTTTTGTCCAAATGCACAGATTGCCACCTTCGATTATAAACGAATCATTTGTTGGTGTAAAATTTTTGGTACTGTACTAAACATTTTAGCAAACTTCAGTTACAAGCCTGATTAAATTCTTAAATATATTCCTAAATGGTTAGCGAGTTCTTCGGGAATGTGGAAGAAGCACAACCATCTAAATACTTAATGTATTAAGGGACTTATAATTTTGCTTACATCATTGCAGATCCATAAAGATAAATTTCAAGTAGTACCTAGCACAATTATTTTATTCTTTAAAAATTATATTAACTGAAAATTATGAAATCCAAGGTCACAATTTTCATTTTATCATTTCCTATGTTTCAAATACTTTATATTTAGTTGAATTAACAAAACATTAATCAATCTTTATGAACCTTGCGTTTTATTTTTATTTTTAAGAATTTATAAACAATTTATTAACATATTGCTTAATTCATTTGTTCATCAAGAACGTTTTGTGAGCTCTACAGTGCATGTTGAACAGTACAAAAAAACATTATCTATGTTTTGTTTTTAATCATGTTGAAATTTATGGACGAGATGAGCCAGTGGCTCAACTACGCACGCCTATGTAATACCCGAAAAATACTAAGAATTTTTCAACATTACTAAATATACACCAATTTTAATTAGTAACATCAAATACACAACATTATTTAAGAGCATTTAATAAAATTAGTGACAGAAATCAACATTAAAAAATCAGGTACAACGACCAGCACCGAATATTCCCGAAAAGATATGCACAAGTTTGTTAGTGAATTAATACGCTTATAGAAACCTTAAAAAAACGTATATCTATACTAATATATACAGTGGTTTATACGGATGTACCGTTATAACTCCTGAACCATGCATCCGATTGACTTGAAACTTGGTATCCGTGTAGAAAATATATGTTTTAATGGATAGGCTAATATTTATATGAGTGTTGGACTCCCTGCACCAGTTGCGGCGGCGTTAATAATGAAAATCTTTGTCGGGGTGAGAAATAATAATGTTAATTTTAAATGCCCAGCGAAGTGGGTGAATACGGCTAGTACTGTATATAGCTATTACAGATTATCCAAAATACATAAAATATGGCTATACCTAGTCAGGTCATAAATTCTGTCACATGTTTAATGTAAAATAATTGAAACAAGTTTATTCATTATGTAACCATTCATATACCAAAATAAACTTAACAAAACATAGATTCTTATGACACTAAAGTTTATTCAAAATGACCTCCGTGATTTTGAATACAGGCCTTCAATCTGCGCGGCCAGTCGTCTATCGCAGCACGAACGAGGTCCATGTCAATATCGGCGGCTGCCTTAATCAAGGATGTCTTGAGTGACTCCAAATTGGGATGAGGCTTTGAGCACGCCTTTTCCTC